ATGTTGAAACAAGGTGGAATTCAACTTACTTAATGTTAGAGACAAGCTTGAAGTACAAAGATGCTTTTGTCTTGCTAGATATGCAAGATAAGAAATTTGGTGTTGAAATGGCCAAAAGTAATGGTGGTGTGCCATTAGAAGAGGATTGGGAATATGCGAGGTCTATTCTACCATTTTTAAAGATGTTTTATGACTCTACCCTACGCATTTTTGGTTTTTCTTATGTCACCAGTCATATGTATATGAAAAAGGTGTTTGGAATTGGTAAAAGGATCCGACAATATTCTGAGAGTAGTGATCTGAGCATAAAACTGATGGCAATGAGGATGAAGGGCAAGTATGAAAAATATTGGGGAAATCCTAATGGAATTAATATTTTATTATTGATTGCTGTTGTGCTTGACCCTAGGAGTAAGTTGGATTTTGTTAATTACTTCATTGACTACCTATTTGAATCTAGTATGGCCAATGAATTGAAATCAAAATTATTGTCATCCTTAAAAACACTTTATGAACAATATCAAGGTATTGAGGAGGGTTCTCAAAGTAGCCAACAAGAATCTCAACTAGATGATGATGATGATCCTCATGGCATGAGTTTCTACCTAAGAGCTACAGGACGTAGATTTTATTATATATCAGAGCTTGATAAATATTTGAGAGAGGATCCTGAACCTTATATGAAGTCAATTAAGCTTGATATTTTTACATTGGTGGAAAGTCAACTCGATTAGATTTCCTATCCTTGCGAATATGGCTCGAGAGGTGTTAGCCATTCCTATCTCTACCATAGCATCAGAGTGTGCATTCAATACAGGAGGAAGAATGGTTAGTCCTTATCGTAGTTGTCTAATGCCTAAAATAGTGGAAGTGCTTGTTTACACACAAGATTGGCTAAAAGGAACACCTTTCTCTATACTTTTTTATGAGGATCCTAAAGAACTCGATAAATTTGAGCAAGGAGAAATTATATGACAAATTTATATATTTTTTAATTTATATTTTAAGTGTTCAAAAATTATGAAATATTTAATTTATTTTTGTAGAGATAACCTCTCAAGATGAAGTGGGACCTTCAAGTGCTGCTATTAATTTGGATGATTGAAGTTTTGCCACAATTTGTTAGTTATCTAAAGTTGATTGGAGCTATTTCATCAATATTCTTGTTGATCAGAAGTCTTGCTACAGTTTCTTTTTATGACTCCACTCCTTTAGGACGAATACTACTAGGGTAAGCATATTTAACATTTCTTTTTCTTTCCCTTTACAATGTAATGCAATGCATGGAAGCACTAATTTTTTGTCTGTTATTTCCTTGTTTGGGTCTCCTAGGATCTCAAGCTTGTGGACCTTGATGTTGCATTCAGTTGTTTGTTTGTTGTTGCAGCTACTTCAAATTGTTATGCTAATCTTGCAGTTTTAGCAATTGTTACTTGGCAAGTCTTGTTTGTCTCAATCCCAATGATTTATTTTGCAACCAGCTTGCAGGTGATGAACAAATTCTTCTTTGGATTACATTACATTGATAATTTGGTGTCATTTTTTAAATTAATTTGAGAATAAAATTATTTAACTGCAGTGTTATTGTTGGACACGAGATCATAATGACTCAGATTGACTTCATCCCTGCATTTTTATATAATGCGGATTTTTGAAACCTATTTATTTTCCATGTAGAAAATTTTGAATTTTAAAATAGCTAGAAAGTATCTGATTTAATCAAAAAAATTTTGACTTATTAAATAAGGAAACTTGTTTACTACAAAAGGGCACAAAGATATAGTTCAGTTCACATAGAAATTCACAATATGGAATTGTGCTTTTTACCGATTGTTGGCTGGTCCAGTTTGGAATGAAAAGCAGTTGCACAAAAGCAGCGTTGTGCAACAAGATTACTGCATGCATTATAAGTAAACTAAAAATTAGTTTACTGAACTGCACTGTACTATGAGTGGACTAAAAACCAGTGCAGTTTAGGTCACCCGAACTATTTTTAGTTCAGTTCATCCGAACTATTTTTAGTTCAGTTTAGTTTAGGAGAACTAATTTATAGTTAACTGCAAAATTATATAGTATAGTGCAGTATACTTTGCCCACCCCTAATTATTATCGTTATTTATATAAATAACGACGGCATTATAGAAATATGATAATATTAGAAATAATAAAAGCCACTTTGTCATTTTATTTTAAATTATCTATAATGTAATTTTATATTAACTAAAAGACTTGATATTTAAAACGTAAATAAGTAAGATAATAAAACAAAATGACAACTAGTCACCTAGATAAAAAAAATAGATTAAGTTTAAAACTTAATCAAATAAGCTAATAATATTATAAAAAGGTTTAATTCGTATTTTGGTCCCTCTTTTCGTAGGGTCTGTTCAAATTGGTCCTACTTTTTTTCAAAAGTTCACTAAGATCCCACTTTTCGCAAAAACGGTGCAAGTTAGTCCTTTTTGGTTACGGCGTTAAAAAGACTAACGGCACAGCTGCCCAGCTGGCAGAAAACTGATGAGCTGTACATTTTTTGTTGACGTGGCACTGTGATATGTGTTAAATTAATTAATTTAAATTAATTTAAATTAATTTAAAAGATAGGGTTAAAAAAATTTGACAATTACATTTGGGGTAAAATCTGCATGCGATTTAGGGTTCAACAATCTCCTTTCCAAGAGTGCAGATTCTGATTTTTGGTGAAATCAACTTCGAGGTTAGTGATCGCATTACTGTTCTTATGTTGTTGTTATAGTAATTGATGGCATTACTGTTGTTACTATGTTGTAGTGGATTCTGTTTTTGCTTTTTCTTTAATGGGTGGGTGCTTTTTCTTTAATCCAAGGCCGCGACTTGTGCAGATCCGTATTCAGAGAGAACCATCAGCAATACCTGAGACGGCGAATAAGGCGATAAACAGATAGAAAAATCGGAAATTTGGGAGTGAAAGCGTGACCCAGTGGAAAATAATTGATGGGTTTGAACAGGGGTGATGGTTCTCTCAGACTATATTTTGCGGTTTTTGAAGTTTGGAGATTTCGAAAGAGGTGAGGTTAGGGTTAGAATTGAG